GGGTTGGCCGACTCAAAATGTCTTACCTCTCTCGAGCTATCAAGTTCACAATGCATATCAATGACATCCATTAGAACGCCATTCTTACTCGAGCAGCTGTGGTGTAGATGGTGCCGCTGACCTGCATTCTTTATCGACTACCTGCACACCTATTTTCAGCCGCTCAGCTCTTGTATGGACTGACATCCGAGAGGAGGGGATACTTTTGTCAAGTAGTGTATATGGGCATTTGATCATCAATTATATGAAAATAAGGATCGGTAAATGTTATTTCAAAGAACTTTTTTGTAATAAATTTTCTAATAATTGGTTCTCTTTGTTTTTTAGCATATTCGCGTTAATTTTAAGTGCTGATGAAAATTATCTTATGGCAGTTATATTTAAAGGTTTTAAAATCTTTTCATTTCGATCATATTTATGGAAAACATGTTTATTACCTGGTAGTGTACGGAATATAATGAGTGGTGCTAAACGTTTAACATATACAGCAGCATTTTCTCAAGATAATCGGTACGTTTTTATATGACTTTGTTTTGGTTTTTATTAATTATTTAATAAATGATTATTCATTTAGTTATTGTATCGCATGTATTAAGTCAAGTGTTTATGTATTTGAAATAGAATGGGGTGATTTAGTAGCTTCATTTGATTCACATTTTGGTCGTATACTTGTTGTAAAATGTTTATCAACTGGTAGTGGTGGAAATAATTATGTTATAACAACTGGTATGGATAAAACAACAAAAGTATGGAATTTACAAAATGCCAAAGAAAAATCAATATCAAAAGCACAATTAGATAAATGTATTGAAATGATTCATATATCAACAGAGGCGAAATTAATAATGGCACAATCCCGTACGCAATTATGTTTATTTGATATGAGAAGTGGAATAATGACAGGACAATTATCTATTAATCCACATGGATCAATTTATCAATGTTAGAAATAAAATTCTTTTGTTTTTCATATTATAGGTACCGCTTTGTGTACAAATGGTTTATTTGCTGCATCAGCTGAATCAGGTAATTTTGTAATATATGATATTGAAGAACGGAAAACATCATTTATAACGCCATTAACAAGTGTCTTTCAACTTCTTCTTCATTCAGCTGAAACAATGGTCAGAAAAAAAAAGCTTGAATTTTATTCTACATAGAATATTTTCTTTTGTTTTTCTTTTAGATTTTAGTTTTAACTACTGAATCAGCTTCAGCAACAACTGTATCAAGTGCATCACTGAATGCACCGGTAAATACTAGTCCAAATGGTGAAACTATTCGAGCTATTTCATATGGAATACCTGATGGTGATCTTATTTATGAAATCGTAGCAAATATGAAACGTTCGAATCAACCAAAAAAAGTTATATATACAGCTGATGATACATATTTTGTATTTATTGAAGAGAAAAAAAATACTGAAATACTTGCATTATATGATCCCATGACTGGTGAACATGTACATAATGTTAAATTAAGTTATCCAGGTTATAAAGAGATTACTCTGATGGTTACAATACCAAAACAACCTTATCTTATTGGTTTAATTGATTCTGAGAAAGGAATTGTTATGAATGTTAGAGATAAAAAGGTGAACATTTATTGAATTTATTAATAACGAAGAGTTTTTGATCTGTTTAGATAACTTGATGACAATAGATTAATAGAGTTTATATTTTTTTAAATCTTTATTCAAAAAAGTTTGTTTGAAAAGATCCCATTGAGACTGATACGTGGAACTCATGTGTGTTCTTTAGTCTCAATCTACCTATAGAAAACACGTAAAGTGAAAAATCTCTAGCAGACTATAATTGTTTTTTAAGATAATTGATTGCCAGAGTAATGATTCGTCTTATTTTCTATTTTCTATTAGCACTCTAGTCTTGGTTTACCTTGTTACTTTTCATTCTCGTATTCCATTTTTCTTAATTTAACATGTTTATTATTCTAATCGTTAGTCTAACTGGCAACTAAGCCTGCTGTCTACATCCATTATTTCTAAAGCAAGTCTCAGTGTACTATTATATATCTCGATAAGCTCACAAACATTTGTATTGATTATTTGCTAAACCTAAAACTTAACCTATGTCATTAATTTTTATCTGCGCAAAAATAAAAAACTACACTATTCAAAACATTCATAAACGTATTTCAGTCACTCAAATTTTGAAGAAAACTTTGGAATGTTCTAGAACATTCACAAAAGTCTTGCTGTTCATGCTATTCAGCGACTTTTTTCATTACTAAGGAACTTGGAGAAACGTTTCTGACGTCTGTTAGCCTCAGTGCGTTAAGTTCGTACCAGAAAGGCGAAGCTTCGACTTAAAACTTACACTAGGTATTTTCTTCGAAAATATATGTCAGTTCTACAAAATGAAAATATTATAATTTAAATCACGAAGATGGAATTAAAAGAGATAGAAACAATCATCCATAAATATTCGAAATTTCGTTTTTGATCGTATTGATTTTTTTTCAATAATCTATATCATTAAGGTCTCTCCTTCGACCAAAAAAAGTTATTCTTCGTCAGAATCATTGAAATTAAGATAAATGCATGGGAAAATAGGCCGTGATTTGATCTTCCATTATTGCCAAAAATTTTTGAAGATTTCAGTCGTCCCCCTATTCGAAAAATATGTTGTTTTCAGAAAAAATAGAAAATCTTTTTCGTTTTTCTTTGTTTGTAGTTTTTTGATCATGCATCTAAGAACTGTCGAAAAAGCATCATTGTAGTCAATAGAAAGTACTTTTATAATTAGAGAGCAAACATGTTTCAATAGGTTTATTAATTAAATACTTGAAATCATTCATACTCTAATATTCATGGCATCTTGATATCAAAAGACTGAATGAAAACCTAATTAGAATATAGTCATAGGTGAAAACATATCTTTTTAAAATAAACTTATCTGTATGTACAGTCTAATATGAGTGACTAATATAGCTAAATTTTGATCTTTTTCATGCGAGAATACAAGAAAATAATTATTATAAATAGGTATAATAAATCTTGGTTTCAGGCCACTGATATTCCTTTCGGAATCCGAAAACTTTAGACTTTTTAGTTTTTGATCTTTTTCGATCAATCAATACAAGATCTTTTTATTTAAAAAAAAGACGTAGTCTAATTTGGCTCGTAGATGTAACAGAGAAAGTTTCAGCTCTAACGACTCTCATAGGATGAAGAAAAGAAAGGTCTTTAAGCATTTTTAGCCATTGCGTCCTCTATGTCGTCTAGATAAAATGACCTGAGAACTATGAGTCTAGCAAAACTTCTTTTTACACTCGCTGACATCTATTTATCGTAAAAGTTACAGCATTTTTTTAGCTAAGTGAAACTATTTTTTATTTTCTTTTGTCTTTTACTAGATGAACGAGTTAACCTTTTTGAAATTTTATTCTGAATAGGTTCATTTAACATTACCAAAATGGGGTGGTCAAATATCATCCGATGGTAAATATGGTTTATATGCTCCAACACGTGGTGGTCTTGAAATATTTGATTTTCGAAATGGAAAAGTAGTTCGAACACTCATTGGCAAGATAGCTGAAGGTGTATTTGATGTGATGACATTTTTTACTCCAACAAATGAACATGTTATATATTATCATAAAGGTAAACGAACAATACGTGTATTTCGTACAGAAGATGGTCATCAATTAGCTGATATGAAATGTCCAGCTAAAGTTCGGCAAGCAACTGCAACAAATGACGGACGAGTATTAGTTGTTGGAGATGAAGATGGAGCTATTCAAGAGTTTTTAATTGTTGATCATTCTGATGAATCCTTCGTTGATTATTTACGAAATTGGAGAAAACACCAATTTCAATCAAAAGCAGAACCTGAACGACAGGAGACTGTTGAAAGACAACCTGAATAAACAATGACATAAATGTTCGACCGCGGTTTCTATCACATGTTTCTCTCTCGATTGTATCGTTTCCAGTGTATTTTAACAGATTGAAAAATACTCTAATTTCCTGTCTTTTTTGACCACTTCTGATTCTCGACAAGATTGTAACCAATCAGGCTGGAATATTTACTATTGATCAAGCACTCAAAACAGGCAGACACTTGAGGGTGTGGATGTGTGGAGTGCTGGCGTTGATGAGTGGGTGTCAGTGGAAAAGAATACCCACACTCACACTCTTCGATCTTCAGTTGAATGATCACTCGAACAATGGATAAGAGACATTGCAACGGATTAGAGATGAATGCGTACCTTCCATTCATTTGTAGTTGCCATGACTTTCAGGATTATTTTATTCTAATGGTTTATCAATGGTTTATTTCAGAAATCTTGAGTAGAACATCGTTCTACATTCTCTTTTAATATGCCAATAATGTTTGAATAATCTGAGAAGACACTTCGAAGATCAAAATCAATATTGAGTTTATCTTAAGTTTTTTTATCGAAACACTCAAGAGTTTCTCTGTAGATATTTTCTTATTTCAACTAAAGCTTTACGTCTAATTTAGTTTATACTTGAACTTGGAACTCCAGAATTCGAATTCAAAGCATATATTTCTCTTTCAAAAGAATAGCAAATTGACAAACTGAAAAATCACGTGAAATTATATTTTCTTTAGATAGTTCATTTAATCTTCACGAAAAAGAATGGCATAATAAAGGAAAGAAACATTGTTATTTGAACCCGTACTCCTGCTGAAGGTTTTGGAAATATGGGTTGATCGATAAGCTTGGCATCTGCCAGCATTTGAAGAACTTCTCTAAGAGCTTCTTTTGAGTTGCACATATCTTTATTGCATGCATATGTCACCGTCGTCTGGCTGCTGACACCAATGATGTTAGCCATGCTTCGTATGATTGTGACACCAGCTGGGTTAGCAACGACTCCCTTAGGTACACAGCTACTCGTCACTGTTGCCCCGTTACCATCAGATACAACCATGCAGAAACCGTCGTTGCATTGTACTGAATTGCCTTCTTGATTATTACATGACAATCCAGTCGTTGTTGGCCCAGCAGGGTTGTACAGGCGAGCAACCAGCTTTTCGTAGACCGGTCTTGGGTTGTACGCACGCACTGTCAAAAAAACGAAAATTACTGAGGGAAAAGTTTTTTATCATCATATTCAGAATTTGTTATCAAATACAATCTTTCTTTTATCCTCTACCTAGTATTTCGTATCTCGACTTTCAAAGACAAAGATCATCTGAAATCGATCGAAGCACTGATTTTATTTACGAGTAGTTGTTCTTGTTCTTACCTAACCTAAACTGTTGAATTGATACTTTTTTTCACAAATCCTCATGTTAAGATAGAAACGTTATTGGAACGTCAGAAAATATATTGCTAAAATAGTCATCTTACTTTCGGCATAGGCCTTTTGCATGTCATCGACACCACATGTCGTGCCTGCAAAGCAAACAACATTTACCAGATGTTGCACTTGGAATTTGTCGAGCCAGATGAATGTTTGATGAGTAATCACTGGAGCTCCATTGGTCAGAAGGAGCACTAGAGGTCTGCGGGACAAACTTTTTCATGTCCCGAATCCCGGATGTCCCGTCCCGAAAGTTTTTGAAAAGTCCCGAATCCCGTTTGTCCTGTCCCGTGAATTTTCGAAATGTCCCGATCCCGAATGTCCCGTCCCGAATTTTTTTCGAAAAGTCCCGTAAAATCCCGTTTGTCCCGTTGACTGAAAGGAATATAAAAATATTTTTTTTGTCAAAGAAGAATATGTTTTCTATATAACCAGTAGATAACACATATTCATACAGATGGTTTTCCAGGGACTTAAAAAACGAAAGCAATGACATAACTTTCGTGAATTTTCGACAAAAAAAATAAAAAAAGGGTATTGCTGATGATAAAACGAACATATTTCTCATGTTTTTCAATTTTATTGGTGAGAATCAACATTTTCATCGACGACATTGTATGAATTTGATTTTTAATCAAAGTCATAGCATT